GCAAGGTATAAATTTTGAAAATAGATTTTGTATTTTTTAATTATTATTATTATTATTTTGTTTTTTTTAAAGGCTTTCTAAGTCGAATGGAAAGAGCAACTCATATTGACTTTAATGGTGATGGTATCATTGGTCGTTTTCCTGATGTTCTGTATGGTTATCCAAGAATGCATGGTCATCCTGGAATGTATGGTTACGGTTTTCCTGGTGCATATGGTCATTATGGTTATGGATGGTATTGATACTACTAATTATTATAAAGAACATTATTTATTAATTTTTTTTTTATACCTTTCTGAATAAAATAAACGATATATTTTACTTTTTTTTCGATTATTTCTCTCTATCATTGTTATTTAATATCATAGATGCATCTTTGTAATTATTTAACTTACTCTAAGAATTTCACTGGTTTAGAATAAGAAATTGTTTAGGAAAATATGCATATAACTTATGTACTTATAAAACAGTGAAATGAAAATTTGTGGTTTTCTTGCTGAGTTTTTATTTTTCTTTCTAAACAGCATCAACTTTCGATGAAGGAGAGTGCAGATCTTCTCTTCATCTACACCTTAGAGAAAGTATGAATATTTAAAGGTCTCTAAATCTACTACTTCTTTATTTTCACTTGATATTCAATGATATCATATAATGACGCCGTGATATTAAAAGCATAGGAGGAAGTGAGAAGATTGTAAAAGTTATAGTCTTCGCCTGTGTATATAAACTTTTAGAACTAGTTAGTTTAAAAGTCAACTGTTACAGTTTTTCAAATTTTTAAGCATGAAACACTACTATTATACATTTGAATTATTAGACACAACAGTTGAATTAAACATGTGTTGTTCGTGAAATATTAAATATCCAAAAACAATTATGTGTCACCAGGAAAGGTACGCAAGTCCAATTTTTTCAACATTTGATATCTCAGGAACAACATAACCATTTAAGCTGAAATTTCCAAGACATTTGAAGATTCACGAGAACTACTTATGGACCAAATATCAGCTTCATTGATGAGTCATATTTACAGTGTTCTCTCGCTTGGTGACCACTGAAAGTTACCGATGAGTAGTATTTGATTATGTTATCTTTATAAAATAAAATAACCAACTTCAACTAGGTCTGTATCATCAACAAAACAAATTGAACCAATTTGACCGAATGGAAGTGAAGATATTCCAAATTTTTATATAGTTATTTTATAGCTCATGTTTTAAAAAGTTATAAAAATCAAGTTGAATTATTTATCGACAAGAGATTATAAGTTTATATTATTCTTATTTTTTATCAATGAAAGAATAACTAAAGAAGAGATTCTTTCATAAAAATTTTATTTTAAAGATCTGAATCTAAACGTTGAAAGAAAAAGAGAACTGTTTTTTTTTTATAGAGCATTTCAAATTCATAGATACATAACCACGTATTTTTAATCATTAACATTTCTATGAATTAATAACAAATAAAAAAGCATCACTCAAAATAGAAACAGAAAAGAAAAAACCACTCCACATTAACCCTAGTACTACCAGCCGGGGTCATTTTTGACTCCGACTCAAAAATTTCAACATACACTAGAAAGATTTTGTTTCTTCCTAGTTTTTGGAAGCAACTAGCATTTCTCATGAATAGATATACGTTTTTGAATTAAAAAAGAAGTTCATTTGTTTTCTACATTATTACAAGCCTTCGATGGAATAACATGTCTTCAGTATACAACAAACATATAACAAGAAAGAGATACAAGTTAAATTTTCGAAACTGTAATGCAATAAGTCATTTACTATTCCAACTGAATATTTTAGATCCATTAAAAAACATTTTTTTGAAGTGATTTTGAGCTATCCAATTAGAATGGTAGATGATTCATTCAATTGTAGATTCAAGGTTGACTTGCCTCTTTTTCTTGTTTCATATTTATTGAGTAATGAGGTCATTATAACATATTAAAAGTGTGTAATGGTATAGAGAAAAAATGAATTGCTTTTTAGGTTCAAGAACATATATCTGCGTATATCTATTAGTAATGGATGCTAGTTGTTTCCAAAAACCAGAAAAAAATAAAATCTTTCTAGTGTATTTTGAAATTTTTGAGTCCCGGTCAAAAATGACCTATGCCGGTAGTACTAGAGTTAATAACGAAAATTAAATAAATCGATTATGGTAAATGTTCTGTTGTATTAGGTGGATATTTAATATAAACATAAATATAAATAAGTGGAATAAGAAGTGCAATAAGAATAATAACTGTAACAATATGCCAAAATTTACAGCCACAATCGGCACCATCACAATTGAAATCACTGAGCGGTTTTTTTGTTGATCGTATCATCATTTTCATTGTTGGTTGATCAGATATTAATGTTGTTGTTGGTGATTCAATCAATTGTTCAACTTTAGTACGCATTGATGCTAAATCTTTATCCATTGCATTTAAAAACGCATGATGATTTTCTTGAGATAAATGTGTTATGGATAATGATGTATTTGTTGTTGATTGATCATTTAAATTAACAACTATCGATGATGATGATGATGATTCATGAAGTAAACCAAAACGACGTACAGGTACTCGACAATATGTAAGAGCATAAAAATCTTGATCGTTTTGTAAATTATTTAGACGTTTTAATTGAGAAACCTGAGAAGAAAGAAAAAACACGAATAACCTTCGTTTTTAGTAAAATGCCGGAAATGGGAAATTAAACCAGAAGTTTCTTTTATTTTCTTTATATATGGTTAGATAGAGTGTGATGATCTACTTTTACTGAAAAATAGGTCAAGTTTTGATTTTTTTTTTCATTTCCTTTAAATTTCAAAATTCTTTTGTTTAAGATTTAGCGTAAAAAGATAAATCTAGGAAACTTATTTATAAATGAGTTTCCTAGATTTATCTTTTTACGCTAAATCTGAAACAAAAATATTTTGAAATTTAAAGGAAATGAAAAAAAAACCAAAATTTGACCTTTCTTTCAAAACAAGTAGGTCATCACACTCTATCTATCTAACCATACATAAAGAAAATAAAACGAAACTTCTGGTTTAATCTTCCATTTTCGATAGCTTAAAAAAAAAAGCGATTATGAAACATACTGGTACTCGATATCGAATAGCAAATGCTTGAATAGTTTCTTGTGGTCGTATAGGTTTTTCAACAATAACAATTGAACCACCACCATGTGCTGTTGATGTTAGTTGTTGTTTTATATTACGGGAACGTATAATATGTTGAGCTTTTAATTTGGTTTTATTATCATCGTCATCGTCTGAATCAATTGTTCCTAATTCAATACTATTATTATCTATTTCAGATGAAGATAAAAGTGATTGAGATAAGGCATTGTTTTCTTGAGAAGTTTTATTATTTTTTGAATGATTTTGTCGATTCTTTTTGGTTTTTGTTTTGGAATTTAAATTTGAAGAAGAAAATAGAGATTCTTTGAATATATTCATAATATTAGACGATAATGGTAATGTAGAGAATATTATAATATATAATTTAAAGAAAATTAACAACATAATCTGCTAATCATAATTGATATTGATTTGATAGATAAACAAGAAAATGAATGATACACATAATTTGAATATTAAAAACTAATCATTACTGAATGTCAAGTGATTATAGTCATTTATTAAATCGACGTCTGATAGAAGCCACGTTAAAAAGTATACATAAACCGAAAGTAGATTGGTCTGAGAAAGCGACAACACATAGACGAAGGTCATAAAAGATCAGGAAGAGGGCGTTAGTCGATTCACCTTACCGTAGTAATAAAAAATCATTGCATAAACAGATTTTTTTAAAAGATAATCCATTATGTAAATGTTTCGAAACTAACAGTAACTACACATCCACTGTCAAATTTATCAACAGATTTGCTCAATTATTTTCACGTATAGCCTCAGAATCATTGTGCCAATTTCTATTAACAATATTGACAATCATGTTTTGAAATTTCACTACACTTAAATACGTAATCTTTGTTTTCTTTTTTATCATAGTACTTACAGCCCATGATCTAAATTTTTCGATGTATGTAATTTTTTGTCATTTCACAAAGATGTAAACGTCTGGAACATCAGTATATGGTAAATCTCTGATGAATTGCAAGACTTACTGTTATCGCTACTCTTAGTAATGATGTTTGTTTAGGTATCTCAATTTCCCATTGTATCTATCTAACATATAACACAAGCTGATATACGAAAGAGAAAGGGAGCGAAATGAATACATAAGAGAATAATGAAGAGTAATATCAATATCGATACATACGGCTAAGACGCATTGCATTTATCAACGATATTATAATATCATAATATCCTTTGTGTGTCGATGTCTATTCATTGCCATTGTATTATATTATATCGAATATGCTATTATGGTTTCTGTTGTTTATTAATCCTATACGGACTACATTTTCTCAAATAGAACTTGCAAGAGAAATTATTGTCTGTAATATATCGAATGCAAGGATGTTGGTCACATTGATTAAAAACACCTGTAAAATCTATTATTATAAAAAAAAGAAGTTGCATAGTGTTGTTGGGACCGTATATAACCACTTATTTTCTGTTAAGATTCTCTAGAAAAACAAATATTGTACTCATTGAGACTTGCAAACTAGTATGGGACTAGAATCGTGGATGGTGTTTCAGTCTCCTTGACCATATCTGTAGACCAATCTCAACTGTTTATAGGAGATGCTGGGATTCCTCGTCTGATTGCGTCATTAATTAGCAACAGCGACGGATATCTGAAGATATTCACCAGTTGAAATCGGACATTAAACTAGGTTTTTTTTTTAAACAAAGTCATTTGCGCCATCTATACATATAAATCTAAGAGGCAAACAAAAGAAGCATAGCTTTTTTCCTCCTTTTATACCTATTCGATTTGGTAATTTATGGAATAACGAATCTGTTTGCTTGTTTATGTTTTTGTATTGGAATATAATCACAATGGTCAGTAATTCTTTCCGGTATCGGTACTTGTTACAATGTCTTCTCGACAAAAAATTTATGTTGGTTTGGCCGTTTCTGCTAGTGTTTGTACAGGCATAGTTTTATTTCTCTATTTACGTCATCGACGAAAACTAGCATGTAAATGTTTAGATTTTCATTTCTTTTGATAATTTAGTTTGTTTTTTTCAGTATCAAAAACTCCAAATTCTAAAACATCAGCCTCAATTTTTTCTCATCGTGGTTCTCAATATACCGATATAACATCATCATCATCCGACAATGTTAGTGGTAATTCGGAATCAGTCAAATTCCGAAGTGATGGTAAGATATTTATTTAGTTTTTTTATAAAATAAAAAAATAAGAAAATCAAGGTGCTACAGTTGAAGTTGATATTCCTGGTGGTTGTATTCCGTTGACAACAGATCAAGCTATTGTGTTAATGCGTTTTCTTGATGAAAGTAAAAACGATATTGAACGATTACATCGTATTTTAACAAATATTGCAAATTCAGCAACAATTAACGAAAGTAAATATTTTTTTTATGGTTGTTTTTGTTAGTTTTGTTTTATTTATATTTAGGTCAAATTAATTTAACAAATGCTGGTTGTATAAATCATCTTCGAGATATTCTTTTAACAACAAATAATGATACAACAAAATGTAAAATTCTTTTAGCACTTAATAATCTTGCTTTAAATGATTATACTATAACTCATTTTAATGTATGATATATTTTGAATTTTATATTAATTAATTTGTTTTTGTTTTTATTTTAATTTATTTAGGGTATTGTTTCAATTGTCATTAATTTATGTCGCACAACATCATTAAATTCATCTGTACGTTTGTATGGATTAAATTTATTAATAAATATGTCTGTACTTGAATATCTTCATGATGAATATATGAAAGATATAAATGAATTTGATTTATTAATTAAATCAACATTCGAAAATCAAGATGAAATGTTATCAATTGGAAAAGTTCTTGTTAATTTATCAACAAATAAATTAAATATTGAAAATTTATTAAAAATAACTGTAAGAAAATAAAATTTGCAAAAAAAACAAACATTCTAATCATTTTCTTTTAAGAGTATTGAACTTCAAACAATTGTAAAATTATGTACACCAAATAAAAAATTAATTAATAATGATGTATTATCAAAACTTGAAGATATTCTACTTCGTTATGTTACTTTTTATTGTAATTTAGCTGAAATGATTGTAAATGAACTTCAACATAAAAGTCAAAGTACATATAATATTAAATCATGGCTTATTGATCCATTACCATATCGACAAAGTGCTGTTTATTTCGAATTATTTGATCATGTATGTATTCTTTATTTTTACGTGTTGAAAATTAGATTTAAAAAGTCTATAGAAATTGAAATATACTATACGTAGCAAGTTTCCATACTTATTCGAAGTTTTTTTATTATTTATTCTTCGCATAGTTAGAGAAAAAATTATGCATCCTTTTTGAAAAATATTACTTCATTGTTAAGAAAATCGATTTTTTCAATATAATAGGAAAACAAACGGGTCAGTATGCAAAGGTTTTTGATCATCAGGACTTTAGTTTTAAATGAAACCAATATTATATTTAAAATATGCATTAAAATCCTCATTGAATAGTATATTCAATACTTGAAATTAATTTTCGTGAAATTTCGGTACTTGCACTTCATCAATGTTATCTATGTATATAATGTTTAGTGTCCGTCTGTCTGTTCCTAGGTCAAAGGTCGAATAAGGCTATAAGAGTGTAAGGCTAGAAAAGCTACAGGTGGATATGACTACACGAGCTATACGACCATGAGCGATATAAGAGTACAAGGCCATAAGGCTATTTTCTATATGCATAATGTTGAATGTCTGTGTATCTGTTACCGGGTCGCAGGATGAAGATTTGAGATCTAACGTTAAAGGAAAAAAAGCAGTCGTGCACTGTGCACAAGGACTCGCTAGTTTTCGAATATTCTGGCCTGCACGTCTCCTAACGAGAGAAGTCCTCCAACCGATAAATTGCTATGTGTATTATGTAGATCCAAATGAGAAGAATCCGAACGCTAAGCTTTTTGTTGCGAAGGTACTACACTTTTACGGTAGTTTTTAAATGAATGCCGTATCTCCCATCCACGAACATCAGAAAAACTGATTTTCAAATTTCGACTTGAGATTTTCCATTGAAACAGAACTTAGCGAGAATAGGTTTTTGTTAAATCTAATTTTTCCTAAATTTTACTATATATAAAAAATAAATTTCTAATTATCGACATCTTAACAAGACAAATTAATATAATTGAAATTTTGTTTTTCTTTTTTCAGGATAAACAAATGTCATCTAAATCAATTCTTCGTCCTCAATATGCATCAAATATAATAAATAAACAAATAAAACGTCTTCGTCATGCAATGGATACAATACGACAAATTCAATTTGAATCATCAGTTTTATCTGTTAATGATGAATTCAATGATGATGATCATATTACAACAGTAACAGATTTTTCAACACCAAAAAAATTTCCCGAATCACCAATTATAATTGATGATAATAATCTTGAAAATTCATTTGATGTTTTAACAAAAGACGTTAATGAACAATTTGAAGATGATAATACAATTCTTCCTGATCCATGTTCACCATCTGATCAATCATTACCTAGTTTTCGTTCGGCTAATTCAACCAATGAAAATAATACTTTTACAAGTCTTGATGAATCAATTTCAACTTAAAATTGTTTTTTTCCTTCTCTCATTTTGTCCACATTCGTAGAATCCTTCCAGCACAAGAAAAAAAATCTTTCATTGTTTTTTGATAATAGTTTTCAAAAATTTATTATTATTATTTTTTTTTTCGCGTGGTTATCTTGTAGATTATTGTTCATTTTCAACAGATTCGATCATTATAATGGGTGTTGATCTTGACCATCGTTATGATCGTAAAGCTATACGACGAGCACCACGTTCAAAAAATTTATATCTGCTCTTGCTTGTTAAACTTTATCGATTTTTAGCACGTCGTACAGGTTCAAAATTTAATAAAATTATTTTAAAACGTTTATTTATGTCCAATACAAATCGACCACCACTTTCATTATCACGCCTTGCTCGTCATATGAAAAAGAAAGGTTTTAGATTTTCATTACAGATTTTTTTTTTTAATATAAATTTCGTTTTTTTTTGTATTTTAAAAAGGTCGTGAAAATAAAACAGCTGTTGTTGTTGGTTCAATTACTGATGATGTACGACTTTATGATGTACCAAAACTTACTGTTTGTGCTTTACATTTAACTGAACGTGTTCGTGCAAGAATTCTTGGTGCTGGTGGTGAAATTTTAACATTTGATCAATTAGCACTTCGTACACCAAAGGGTAAAAATACTGTTTTATTACAAGGTCCACGAAAAGCACGTAAAGCTAATCGATTCTTTGGTATGTTAACTTTTTAAACATTTTGTTCTGTAAATAATTTTTTTTTGTTCTATTAATTTTTAAGGACGACCACCTGGTGCTCGTCATAGTACAACAAGACCAAAGGTTCGATCAAAAGGTCGTAAATTTGAAAAAGCTCGTGGTCGCCGAGCTAGTCGTGCATACAAGAATTAAACAATTAAAAATTGGTATTATTATCAATTTTTACATTTATTTAATCCATCATAATTCATTTGTTTTTTTCTTGTATAAAACAACATAAGAGCAAAATAAGAAAGAATAATAAAAGGAAAAAAAAACAGTAACCGTTATTTATAAAAAAAATTTCAAAATAATCAGTTCAATTAATGATTGTCTATGGTATTAATTTGTTAGTTTTCATATCGTATAATAGATTGGCTATTGCATTTGTTTGAGAAGAAAATCTGAGAATCTTGATTATCTTGAAAAATTACATTTCCTAAATCATCTAATTGTTTAGCTGCCTTTTGTTTGTTATCAATCTTTGTTTTTTCTTCTATCGACACGGAAACATGTTTTCTTTTGGCATGTGTTTCATAAACAGATCTTGGAATCAATATTGACTGCAACATTATTGTATGACATTTTATCGTTCAAGTAATTAAAATATTGATCAAATAGTCTATGATAGTGTTGTTATAGTTTCTTATCTAGATAGTAAACGCAATCGGTTTGAAAGAATGGAGAGGGATGTAGGAAAGGGTCTCCTGCTCATTTACATCTACGTCCGAAGGTTTTTATTAGAAAAAATATGACAAGCAGACGACTTGCATTGCCTGTGACAGACTACAAAATCGGCGCTTACGCTTTAAGATGTGAATGTTTGTTTTCATATCGTCAAGTTTCAAACTAATCCTGTAATAGACTTCGGTTTCGCATGTATATATGACATGGTGCGCCAGAAGGAAACAACCATATTAAAATATCTGTCACGGAATGTTCGGAAGAGAGAGAAATCCACGATTCTACTGTTTTAGATCGTGTTTCGTCAAATATTAAATTTACTTATTGAGTAATAATAATAAATTGTACAAGCTTTGTCACACATATGAAAATGATTGGATCCAAGGGAGAAATAGTTGATTTTTTTTATTAATTTTAAATTAAAAAAATCATTTATTCAAAAGGCACTGGTTTTGAACGTTTTACGCCTTGATTTTAAGTATTTTCTTGTGATTTAAGTCTATCGGTAGAACTTGATTATTAGAAGAAGACGAATTGTACATTGAGAGAATGAGATCTATCAGAATAATTACAAAAACAAGTGCTGTTTTCGATTTTTTCATAATACTGATCTTTTTTTGATTTAAATTTGACATATCTAATAGATTTTCTATAAAATATTGCAAATTACTTATTAAAAATAATCATGAATATGTTACACTGAGATACACAACAAACAAAATTTGTAATCTTATTATTGGTACCATTAATCAAAATTCATGCAAATTCTTATGTCTTAACTCTATTATTTTTTGTACTTATGATGCTTAAATAGGAAAATATACACACAAAAAAAGCAAAAAAAAAACATATACGAAAAGAAAAAAAACCGGGTAAATGTCACTCTGTTGATTCGTCTTCATCATCTAATCCAAATAATCCTTCGGGACGTCGTAATCGATAAAATGATGTTAACATGCGAAACATAAATGTAGCTGGTACAGTTATTGTACTCGATGTTTCTTCCATCATTGCATGATTACGTTTTATTGTACGTGTAATAAGTTCACTATCATCAATTGGTTTTTCAGCCAATGGTGAAAATAATTTTATATTACTAAGAGAAAAACAAGATAAATCATTGTTAAAAAAAATTGTCAGCGCAGGTCCTTTGGAGTTAAAATGTGAAATTCACATGTATTCTTTTTCTTCATTCTGTCCGCTTATGTTTCGAGAAAATATACTCATTAGTTTCTGACCCTAATTGCTGAGACGCCGGGAAGGAAGGGAACCGTAAAATCTCGACTCAAAGTCTACACTCACTATATTTTCCTTTGCAAAAAAAAACGCAAGATCTTACTAATCAATTCCACTTGATGCTAATATTGGATAATCACGTGGATGTGGCTGTACACAATTAACAACATGTTCATCGGCTTGTATTATTCGTACAAGATTACTTGTAAATTTATTCCAAATAAATATATGTCTAAAACAAAAATTAATTGTTTTTTTTTTTTTTGTATAAAAAAAATCTTTACCCGCAATCTGAACCAGACATAACGTATGAATCCGACCAAAAATTTGCTTCTTTAATCATTGTACGAGCATTACGATGACCATCATAAGAATTAATTATACCTAAACTAGGAACAGTTTTTAAAAGATTTTCTTCATGACGACGTTCAGCTTCACGACGTTTCATTATACGATCCCATTTTGAAGCCATTAATGGACGACGAGCACGTCCAGATAATGGAGCATTTTCTGTTGTTGCTGTTGGTGGCGTTGATGATGATGGTTGAGAATTTTCATCGTCTTCCTAAAACATACGAAGTGAAAGCCGAAGACCAACAATTATATATATTCAAATAAAAGAAAACTTTTAAAATCTTACATGTGCATCTTCATCATCCATACTATCATCATCATCATCTTCATCATCTTCATCTTCATCATCTTCATCATCGTCTTCTGGATTATTCGTTCGACGACCTCTTCCAAATAAAATATCAAAAAATCCAATTCGCTAAAAATAAAGAAATTCAAACTAAAAAGTAATTATTTTAATTATAAAAATAAATACTAACATCTCGACTGTTCTCTGATTCATTAGTATTTGTTGTTGTACTTGCTGAACTTTCATTAGATGTAGGTGATGGAGGTGATTGCACAATAGGATTAGTTGTTGTTGTTGTTGTTGTTGTTGACGTAGATTCACTTTCTGTATTTACTTCAGTAATAGTTGGTGTTGAATTATTATCATTATTATTGGGAGTTGTTGTTGATTCTCTTTCTTCGTTTTCTGTTTCACTAGGAGTAACTAATTGTGTTAAAATATCACTCATTCGTTGCATAAATATATTTTGTAAATTACGACTTCGAGATGTTGCTTGTTGTTGTTGTTGTTCATCTGGATTATCATTATTTGATGATTGCTGTTGTTGTTCAGTATTATTATTATTATTATTCGTAGTAGTAGTAGATGATGATTCAGATTCTTGTTCATGCAATGGACGAGAATCAGGACCTTTTGATAGAAAAAACAAAATGTAAATAAAGAAAAAAAAACTTGATTGAATAATATATTAGAATTTACCTGTATCACTCCAATCACCTCGAAGACGTAATCGTTTAAAATGAGATGTTTTTTTTTCTTCTGTTGTTGATGATTCGTTTGATGGTGATTTATTATTATTATTATTATTGCTATCATCATTTATATTTCTTTTTGTTCGTTTTTCATTACGATGTTGTGTAAGACGTTCTTGACTTTGTTCTTGTGTTATTGATTGTTTTGGATCAAGTAAATAGAGAGATTCAGATGAATATGATGTTAATATTTCTGTACCATGTTGATTAAAAACAACAGATGTTATACGTGGTGGACGTTTTTCTTTACGATCCATTAATACAAAACGAGATATAAGACCATTTATTGATGCTTCACATCGACGAGATATCGATGTATCAGATGATAATTGAGTAGAAAGTTTTCGATGATCATAAAGACGAACTGACTAGAAACATTAAAATGAAAGATATAAAGTTAACCTTTCCAAGAATAAAAATTCATGACTTTCTATTATGTCTTATGAAATTTTATCTTGTAGTTAACTTTCTATTCTGGGACTGCAGTGTGTTTTTTCAAATTGATGATTTTAATTTGAAAATACTCTTTTCATTGAAACTATTGGATATATATCTATATTTATTGTTAACTCGATTATATAATAGAATATTTTCTATTTAATTAGAAGATTTTTTCCTGAACAAATCTATAGGTATTGAACCATTATTTTGAAAAAATTTGTTTTATTATTGATTTTTATCGTACTAGTTAGATGACAAGTGATTAGAAAATAATATTAGTCGAAAAAGTTTGTTGACTTTCACCTGAAATAGCGAAGAGTATCATTTCTAAGCTATTAAAACTCTAAAGATCTTCTTCTAAATCCTCGAAATCATTTTGATTTTGTAAAAAAACACTCTTTTCATTAAAAATTACGAAAATAAACGAGACAAGATCCGGAGCCTTCCAATACAGGGAGAGGTCTCTCTTGTCCCAAACTAGAAGACATCTAAACTGGTACAATCTCCAAATGATTCTTATTTTTATTCCGATTTCTCTACCAAGTAGAATATATCGTTCGTTTCTGTTCTTTTGTATGTATATGTCCTTCCTTGTCATATATGTTACTGATTTTCCCCATTGTTGTTATCTTATATATATACTATGGAACTGTGAATCCACGTTTTTGTGGACTTGGACTCGGCCGGGTTCACAAAAACGTGTAATCGGATCTGACAAAAATAAAAGGTTGAATCCGGTCGCTCCGAGTCTGGAAGGACCCGCAGCTTCCTAATATATGCACACACATCTTTTGTTCTCGAGAGTTTTCTAGTTCTTGTTCTCCTCACTTTATTCTTCTACTTTTACAAAGTTATTGTTATTAACAAAACATAGAAAACCTCTGTGTTCTCGACCATACATATCTCAGTTAAGTTTCAATAAAAAGAAGAGATTTTACTAATCTAGATGTTATGCAAAATATAAGCTCAGAAGCTTGAAATGACTGATCGGACCTTCATAGAAAATGTCCTATCTAACTAACACGATAAAAGCCGAAGAACAAAAAAACAATTCTCTTTCTAGACAAACGATTTCATACCCATGTATATACTTTATTACTACTTAACAAAACTTACTGAATCCGAACAAGCACAAACAATTTCATTTGGATTCATTGGATTAATATCAATTGATGTAATACCCCATTTACTTCTTATAATAATATCATCATTACAATGAGCTTTTAAACAATTACTTTTTGTTCTTAAATCATATAATCGTACTGTACAATCATCTAAATTAATAATTTATTTGAATAAATATATATATATATATATTCATTGAAAATATCTACCAGAACATGAAAAAAATAAATTTGGTGTATGTGGAATAACTCGTACTTCATATGCTGTTGCTGCACCATGACAAGTAAAACATCCATCATTACTATGTGAATTATTAGGTCGATCAAAATTTGTATGAAATATAATACCATCACCTGAACATGAAACAACACGACGATCATTTGTTTCAGGTAAAAATTTTGCTGAAAAAATATTTTCTCTATGACCACTATGTACACTTGTTAAAATTTTTGTTGTATAAGGATCTGTTACAATTAAATGTTGATCATCAGAACCTGATAATATTGTTGTACCATGTTCATTCCAACATATTGTATTTACACAACCTCGATGAACATTTAATGTTCGACCTAATTTAAGTCGTCGTGTTATTGATGAAGAATTTTTTAATCTAACTAATAAACGTCGATGAGAAAGAACACCATATTGACGATCAGATAAATAGGGCATCTAAAAAAGAAAAAAGTTCTCTAACATATTCGTTTTTCTTATTGTTATTGAATAAATGAAAAACAAAAAAAAAGCAACGAATAAACAAATTTGCCTAGGAAAAAAAACAATTCATATTTAACCAAAAATACGCCATCGTGTTTTAGATGATAATTGTCGTTGTATTACATCCGATACTTGAGCATATGAACGCATTTCATTTATATTTTTACCAAGACCAGCTAATGCAAGTGGTTTACTAAATATTCGTCGTGCTATTTCATATATATCATCCATATTAATACGTTCTATACGATTAAAATAATAATCAGCTTGTTGACGTTTGCCAACAGAAAGAACTTGTCGTGCAATATCTTCAAAAACAACAGGACGTTGTTCTAAATTCATAAAAAGCATTGATTGTAATTGTTTTTTAGCACGTGCAAGTTCTATGGATCCTGGTCGTTCAGAAACAAGAAAACCAATTTCACGTATAGCAACATCAACCATATTACGAAGATATGTTGGTTCACCACCAAAATGAAAATATAAACATCCAGAATCAGAAAATGCTTGATTATATGATATAGCAGTTTTGATTTGTTCATGTCTAGATTGAATATGAAGATTTGTCTTTTGTGTGTGTTTATTTATGTAAATGAAAATTACCTGTTGAGAACATTTAAATAAAAACGTGAATAAAGTCCTTTACCTGGACCACCAGCACTAAATGAACCACCACCACCTAATAATTGACTTAATACACAAGTCGAAACAAATTCACGTTCTTCTTTATGTGATGGAGCTGTTGAAAAAGAAAACAATAAGCAAGAAAAAGAAATTTTTTTAAATAAAAATTTACCTTCAAAACCAAGTGCTATATGAACATTTTCTGGTAATGGATCAGCACCAAATGATAAATGACTAAGATCACGTTCTTCCTATTAAAGAAAAAATTATTAAATATTCTAGTTTACAATTTTGAATTTATCGAAATATTACGAAAAAAAAAATGAAAACTATATTCATTGTCGAATAATGAAAACCACAACTAATTAGAAACTCCAAAATAAGTCAATATTATATATGATTATGGGAAATTTTTAAAACAACTACTCTATTTATTCTCTTATAAGGTTTTACGCTCAATTAGAAAAGTTTACTTAAACATTCGTATTCATACTCATATATAATGTTTCTTAGCCTGAAATAAATTATTAATTATTTTATGGACTTCTCTGACGAGGAAAATCTCTCAACTGATAAATCGCTGATGAGTCAAGACTAAAGTCCGGATCTGAAAATTTTGGATCCAAGGACTCTAATTTAGACTATATGCGTTATGTAGAACCAAATAAGTTTTGAATACCGTGAAAACAGTTCAGACCCTTAGCTAATTGCTGCCGAGATATTGTACGTTCATGGTAGTTTTTACATGAATGTCGTGATCTCTCTTAGGAAAACTGATTTTCAAATTTCAACTTGAAACTTTGCACAGAGATCGAGGTCTTAATGAGAATAGTTTCTCGTGAATGTTTTCAGATCTTGTCATTATTCCTATCTTAAGATACAACTGTGATAAAAGCGTGTCTTTTACATTGCTCATATAAATCGGCAGATTTTATGCTCTTATTTCAGGACAGAAACAAATTCAAAGATCTGAATCTTTCAACAATATACTATTCTCATTAAGTTCTATCTCTGTACAAAGTTTCAAGTCGAAATTAGGAGGACTTCTCTCGTTAATTATTTCTTCATAATGTTAAGAAATTTCTTTTTTGCCAATTTTATTTTTCAGCATTCCGACTAATTGCCGTAGACCCAGAATTCACGCATAGGGAAAGTATTTTTTTGTTCTAGTTTTTCAATCATTGCAATAGAATTAAAAATCTAAAAATCTTATCACCATAATAACACCACCAGTCCATATAGCTTTATTATCTTCGATAGTTTTTTGATCAATATTCTTATTATCATTTTTTGATATTGAAAAATATTTTTTTCCTAAATCAACAAGTTGTTGATGATCAATGCCAACACCAGCAAGTACCATTCGTTCTGGTTGATAAAATTCTTTCATAAATGATCTTAACATTGATGTATCTATTCGAGAAATATTATCTAATGGTGTATATTTTGGTAAACCTAGAGTTTTATTTCCATAACCAGCCTAATATTAACCACAAAAAAAAAACAACAAATATTTTGACTGATAATTTAAAAGAAAAATCATTTACAGCATGTATCATATCAGTTAAAATTGGAGTTGGATCATATCGTCGATTTTTTAAATCATCGATTTCATTGAAAACAGCCACTTGTGCAGATTCCATCTATTAATAAAAAATTCATAATATTAAAAGAAAAAAAAATAGAAAAATATTAATTACTTCTTCGGGTAAAAATTTCGGGCGAAATATTGTTTCAGAAAGTAATTCAACAACACGCTCAATGCCACTTGTTCGACATGATAATGCATAAATTATAATATCTCTATAAAAATTAACAATTCAAATACAAAATAAAGTGTTTTATTTACCTTGATGTTTGACAATCACATATAGCATTCACTTCATGTAATGTTTCAACAATTTGTTCACGACTTTCATATTTATTAGTCGACTAAAAGAAAATTTTCGAATTGAAAAATAAAATTAACTTTTTTTTTTTTACCATAAATGCTAATTTTTCAAGAAAATGTGAAACACCACTAAGATATTTTCCTTCAAATCGAGGTCCCGCAGAAACAATAACTAAAATAAATTTTCAAAATAAAATAAACTAAATAAAATTTCATAAATACCTCCAATTGTACAAAAATCACCAAAAAGCTTTTCCGAAGCAACCTTTTAAAAGAAAAAGAAAAACTTCAATGAATAATTTTATTCGAACTAAAAATATAAATACAAACTCGAAGACCATTGTCAAGTGTTGTTACATTTGTTTCATATCGATTTGCTTCTGGTATAGCATATTTTACTGGTGGTAACCCTGATGGTGATTTTGATAGAGCAGGAAAATTATAAACTATTGGGAATGTTGAATCACGTCCAAGACCTGCTGTACGAGATATATCATTTTTTGATGAATTTTCTGTATGACGAAATCTATTTATTTATAGAAAAAAAACAAAATAATTGAATGCTTATGTCAAACTCATTTACCTCCGAAATAGATTTGATGACGATTGTCGATAGAAAATACGGACAGCTTTTAACATATTGATCGTTGAAATACAGGTGACTCTGTATAATAGTTCTGCGCAAATCTAAAATTAGTACATTTTTCGATTGGTAAAAATGATAAACGAATACGTAACTATGTAAATAATTGTTCTAACGATTTGTAGCGACGTCTATCCGAATGGAATTCTATATCAAAAATAGATAAGTTTTGATGAATGTAGCAAATATTCATACGTTAGGCGCTAGAGATATATAGGAAAGTGAGTTGTCTTTTATGAACAATATCGAATACTTTCTATAGATGATGCACACTTCACGTACCATTCAATGTCAACTAATGTGCGTGTATGATCTAAAGAACAACTCAATATCGGTTCATTTTAAACCTACATGAAAATTTCTAAAGCATAAGATCGAATACAAATATAAATAAAATTTTTATGGTTAGTCTCAACCATTAATTCTTAATGAATTGAGTTGAGCAAATTTTACGATGAACACTCATCGGAGCTACGAGTTTTGGCCTATGGGTTGAATTTTGAATAGAGCACGAAATTTCGTGGAGTTGTCACATATTATCACTGTAAACTCTTTTTCATCAAAAACCTAGTCTCATTTAGTCCTTTCATTGGTTTAAACTATCTACAATGAAGTGCGAGATAGTATAGAAAGAAGAACAAAGAATACGGACGTGAAGTTGGAGTAATAGTAAATTACACAGAGGAACGGTTGACATATCAGATAAATTCTAATAGTTTAAGCGTGTCACTAGTTTACGTAGTCCATTGGGATGTAGGCATTTTGTCGACAAACAGCTAATATCAGCTAAATCATCTGTTCACATGAAAAAAATTTTCTATTATTCAACAAAATATCGTTGTCTTGTTTTCCTCTTTCTTAAACAGATTGTGATTGAATTTATGTTAAAAAAATACAAGATAGTTGATAATGCTGATGAATAATTTTGGACAGTGTGACAAGCCAGACTGTCTGCAGGAAAATTTTTTAACCAGGTCAGTGGCGCATGAAATAAGCTTGACTGACGAGGAAATCTCCCCAGCAGATACCTCCTACCGATTTCAATGATTTTTTTTGTCTATAGACACTGCATAGTATTCTAGTGAAAAACCTTAAAAAGATTTCAGTTCGCATTGAGATTTAAAGGAGCTATCAAATTTTTAATATGTCTGTTTGTACGAGATCACTATAGGATCCAAGATTTTTAATTTTGTCTTGAAACTATTTCCATTTGAAGTTTTCATATGCAGTAGTTTGTATGAAAAGTTTCTGAATTTGTAGACTTATTATTCCTGCAATAGAAGCTCTTCTCAATAATTTTTTATTATTCATTATACTTTGAAAAGCTCATAACTCAGAGATATGATGTCAGCAAACTCTGAAACTCTTCATACAAGCTAATGTATATGAAACTTTCAAATGCAGATAGTTTCAAAACTTTTTCGATAACCCTAGGTTGTATAGTGATCTCGTACAAAAAGAGATAATAAAGATATAATAGCTCCATTAAGTCTCAATAGAAGCTTAAATCCTTTTATGGTTTTTCAATAGATACTTTACAGTATGTATTGACAAAAAACATCATTGAAATAGGTAGAGAGCATCTCGTGAACGATTTCTGAAGCAGAAACAATAAGCTTGGCTGATCAAAGTTTAGTACATAATGGATCGACTTTCATAAATCCAACTCACCTAATGGAGAGCTCTGTTAATTATATAAAGAGTTTCACATAATAGCTGAGGATAAATTGTCAACGACGTTTTTCATACTTTTTCTTGGTGTAGAAGACTGAAATTATTTTTACATATATATCTAGC